CGTCTGCCCACTGGTAGGTGTGGACCACTCAGGTCCTCTAGACGTGGGGCTGGCCCCTGTGATGGGGATTGCAGGCAGGCCTGGCGCACCATGGGCCTTTCCTAATAGCTCAGTTGGTAAAGAATCCGCTTGCAATTCTGGAGACCCCAGTTTGATTCCTGAGTTGGGAAGATCCTCTGAAGAAGGGATAGGCTACCCACTTCAGTATTGTTGGGTTTCCCTGGTGGCTCAACTGGTAAAGAATTGGCCTGCAATGTGGGAGACCTGGGTTCAATTCCCAGGTTGGGAAGATCCCCTGGAGAAGGGAAAGGCTACCCACTCCAGGATTCTGCCCTGGAGAATTCCGTGGACTGTATAGTCCATGGGGTCACAAAGAGTCGGACACGATTGAGTGACTTCCACTTTCACTGCGCACTGTGGGGTGGGTGTTGGCTGGGCACACTTGGCACCAGGTCCCAGCGCTGGCCCAGTCTGTGCCTGGTGGTCTGTCTGCTTCCTTCCTGGGAAGGGGTAAGCAGGATGGACTGAGGACCCCGGTTGTGTAAAGCGGTGTCTAGCACTGATCTCCTCCAGGCCTGCATGGATCATCACCCCCCACGAGTGGGTTTTGACACAAGAGCTGGAGGGGCATGCGTGTGTGGTGCTGATCCTTTGCCAGTGGTTCCTTTGCCAGTGAAAATCATCTGTCTTTCCAAACTTCACCTGGACTCTGTACTTCCAGCCAGCGCAGGAGGTGGCCCTGGCTGGGCAGTTTCTTCTGATGTGTCCGATCCTGCCGGCGCCTGCCCTTCCTTGCAGCTTGCGCCCTGCTTCTCTGAGATTCCGCAGGCACTTGGCTTCCTTATAACTTCGTGTGCTGCTGCAACCCAGCAAGGAGTTCAGGGTGCCTTGCAGAGCTGTTTGCATTTAATAGACACCAGGAAGCTTGAAAATATGAGGCCACCCCTTCCACGCCAGTGGGGCTGTGGCTGGGCCCCGGACAGCCCCTTGGCCTCCAACCCAAGGAGCCCCTCTCACTGCTCTGGCAGTGACTGTGACCCAGGCCACACAGGGGAAGTAGACCGAGTCAGGGGCTGGTCTGTGGCCAGCAGGGGTGGGAAGGATGTGTGATGTGTTTCCGGTGGCCTGGCTGGGGAAGGGGCATTAGTAACAAACGAGCTCACCAGCCTCACCCCTGTCAGTCTGCAAGTTCCTGCCTGCACAGTTCGGGCTCGTGTACACTGAGGTGCATGCCCAGTGGGGAAGAGAGAAGAGACATTTAAACACCCAGCTGTGGGACGTGAGAGACGCTGTCAGCACCCCGGGTCCGCCTCCTCCCCGCCCTGTGGGGTGATTGTCCCCTGCATGAGGCGCTCACCCTCCTGCCAGCCCCCAGGCCTTTGTCTTAACAGCAGAGTCTGGCGCTGAGTTTCTGATCAGAGTCCACAGTTTAACTCAATTTTAGTGTAGGCCCGTGTAGGAAGGAAAACAGAAAGCACTGGCCTAGTGTGGAGGTGGAAGTGGTGAGAGGGACCCAGGGGCTATATAGAAAGAAAGCAGCCCTGATGGCAAGTGGGCCGAAGGGGCCGGGCGTTTGGGAACCCTACAGGCCTGAGAAGGAGTCTCTAGTTCTGGGCGGTGGGTGATTGGTGCTCTCTCCCTGCTCCTGGCTCTGGGCCACCTTTGCCCCCTGCTCATGGCCAGGGCCTCCTGATGCTGTGGTCAGAGCCCAAGGTCATCCTGCCAGTAACAGCACTCTGGTCACATCTCTCTTCTGGCCTTGGACCCATTATGCTGGGCTCTCGCCTCAGCACCCTTGGGTTCTCTGCCTGGTAACTTGTTTCCCCCAGCTGGAAAATGGCCCATCCACCACGCAAACCCCCATGAGTCCCCTGGGGATCCTGTCCATTGCACAGACCCCCACCCACCTCCTGAGAGTACCTAAGATGACAGAGCAGGCCCCCCAACCTGAGAGCCCCAACAATGATCTGTCCATCCGTGGTCCCTTAATTTTTTTTTTTTTCCTGGAAGATCATGAGCTTGTAACCCAGAGGGGCCTGGGCACATTTGAAGGGTGTGGAGGATGCCCTGAGTGGCTGATTGGTAGAAGATGCTGGAGCAGAGGACAGTGCCAAGGTGGTCAGCGTGTCTGGGGCCAGTAGTGTGTAGGGTGTGTCTAGGCGAAGGGGCGGTGGGAGAGAAGCCCCGTGTCCTGGCTGGCCCACAAGATGAGGGTCAGGTCAGAGGGCAGGTGATGAACCACTGGACCTCTGTTGTCTATCTGAACTTGGTGAGACTGAAGTCTGGCTCGTCTGTCCCTGGAGCTTTTCTCCTCATGCTGTCTGTCACTTGGCAGCTATGACCAAGGCCGAGCTCTAAGTGGAGAATTATTAACGTGGTGCATTCTAGAGCCAAATAAGGTTGAATTCATGCTTAAAATTGGTGCGAAGGTGTGGTGAGCTTGAACACGGGTCAGTTGGTTTTCATTTGACCAAAATGTATGCAGTGGGTTCTTTGCTAACTTTTTTTTAAAGTGCAAGAACGTGTAAATAGGTTTTTTAAAAAATAGACACTTCTCTTGCTTTTTACTGCAAGTCGAATTGACCCATTGATGCACTCTGAGTCCTGAGGTCTGCAGTGGGCTGCAAAGCTCTGGAGATGGGTCTGCTGAGCTAGTGCTGATCTGAGGAGCACCTTTGCGGTGGAAGCCGCATTAAATTTTATGTCTTGTTATCTGTGGATGGTGAAGGCTGCTGTTTGAAACCCTGAGCCTCTGCTTGGTACCTTAATATTTGGGTGAAATTTTTAATCACAGAAGAAAAGTGTTTCCCCAAGTGTTTCTTTTAATATTACTGTTGCTTTAAGAAAATTGCCTTCAGAGCTAATTGTCTTCATAGGCAGTTTATTAGACGAGAGTGGTTTTGACTCTCAGCAGCTAGACCTTAAGTGAATCAAAGAAACTCTGTTTTTTAAAACAGGTGGCTCGTATATTATAAATCTATGAAAATATTTTAGAATTGTAAGCCATATTGCCTATTTTCTGAAAGTCTTAAAATACTTAAATTATATATAATTCTAGTAAATGAATGTAAAGAATATTTCAATATGTTGCCTCAAAATACCTTGAAAGCCAGAAACATTCTTGTTTCTTATAAATGACAGAATAAAGTGTTTTCATAATGCTGGTTTGACTGGAGAAGCAGCTTTTAACTCTTGAAGGGATGGATTAATATTTTCTCTAGTTTCATGAGCCCAGCTCTGTCACTGAGGGTCACAGTTCCCTGGCACTTTCGGCCAAATCACAGAGCACGCCTGCTTGGACATCTGATGAGAACTGTCACAAGGCCCTGGGCAGCTCTGAAAGTCATCCCCACGCCATCCCAGGACATGGTATTCCCACTGAGCCCACCTGAGCACTAACTGTGGCTGTCCTGCCTCTCCTGTATCTTGTCGCCAAGCCAGAGCGTTGTCACCAAAGGCTCCTAGGGAGAGGAAGGTGCAGGAAGTCACTGGGCTGGTGCCTCGGAGCAGGTGGGGCCCCTCCTGGGAGCAGAGTCTGCGTTGTCACCTTGTCGCAGTCCTGCAGCATCCCACGCACACTGACTGTCTCCCGCCACCTCTGTGGCTCGTTAGAACCCTCCAGTTAGAAGGGGCAAAGACTAGCATGCTGCCTCTGCCTGCGTAGTGTTTGGGTCAGCAGGTGGGATGGACCTACCTGGTTTCTGGATTTAAGGGATTTTAGACTTGAGGTCCGGAGAAGGCACTGGCACCCCACCCCAGTACTCTTGCCTGGAAAATCCCATGGACGGAGGAGCCTGGTGGGCTGCAGTCCATGGGATCGCTGAGAGTCAGACACGACTGAGCGACTTCACTTTCACTTTTCACTTTCATGCATTGGAGAAGGAAATGGCAACCCACTCCAGTGTTCTTGCCTGGAGAATCCCAGGGACGGGGGAGCCTGGTGGGTGTCCGTCTGTGGCGTTGCACAGAGTCGGACAAGACTGAAGCGACTTAGCAGCAGCAGCAGCAGACTTGAGGTGTGGGACGGAACACGTTTCAGTCCTGCAGGGGTAGGGCATGGATCTCTCGTATAACATAGCTCTGCCCATCAGATGGGTGCAGGCATCCTCAATCCTGCTTATTACCGAGACCCAGACACCTGGTGTTTGTGGCAGTCACATGGCTATGTCTGCCTACCCCATGGCCTGGTTTCCTTCACTGGACGTGTCGGCCAGTCCTCTGTCCTGGTGCCCAGAGGGGGACCTCAGGAGTCTGTGTCTGTTGCAGACAGCCATGAGTGTCTGTGCCTACTGTCACCAAACTCTGCTGTGTCCCAGACCCGGGTCCTCCTATCATGGAGTGTGGAATTTTTCACTGCAGCAGTGGAGCCCAGGTGGCCCTAGTGGTAAACAACCCACCTGCCAGCACAGGAGACAGAAGAGATGCAGGTTCGATCCCAGGGTGGGGAAGATCCCCTGGTGGAGGGCATGGCAACCCACTCCAGTATTCTTGCCTGGAGAATCCCATGGACAGAGGAGCCTGGCGGGCTACAGTCCATGGGGTCTCAAAGAGTCAGACATGACTGAAGCCACTTAGCACGCATGTGGTAGAGCTGTAGGCGCTGCTTTTTTGGGGGAGGGGGACGTTGAGGGTGGTACTGGGTGCTGGTCAGTGGCTGTGTCTGGTGGGGCTGAGCCTGTGGTGTCTGCCCATCTCCTCAGGATGGTTCCCGACCAGCTGCGGGCCCCACCATCCTCACGCTGTGCCTCATTCCAGGCCCCGCAAAGCGTCGGCCACTCTGCACTGGCACTCGTGTGCCCCCATCCAGCCACCCCTGCAGGTAGCGTGGTGGCCCCTGGGCTAGGCCCACTCTTGGGAGGATGTCCTGATGGGCAGTATAGTCAGGGGGCAGAGAGGCGCTCCTTTGCCAGCTCTTCTTCCCGAGGTGGTTTCTGGGCAGCGGCGCTGAGGTGTCTTATATACACCACGTCCCCGTTCACCCTCGCTGCCGCCATGCAGCCATGACTGGACCGGATGCCGTGGCTCTCCCTGTTTTCAAGGCTGGACACCGACACTCGGAGAGGCTTAGGGGCTCGCTGGGCCCCTGCCGGAGAGCCTGGCTGAAAGGCAGCTCCCTGTTCACGACCCGGAGCCCGAGGCCCTCACCCTGTGGCTGGGCCTGTGTGATCCCTGGAGACACCAAGGGGCCTGGTCCCCTTCCCCCTCCCTGCGCGGCTCTAAGGACCTTTCTCCTCGGGGACAGGCGCTCCTGGCTCCTCCCTCGGCCTGAGCCGGCCCTGCCCGTGCCCCTCAATGAGCCTACACAGGAGAACAATTGGGTCCACATCGCGGGCGCACAGCTGGCCATTGAGAGGGACGAGAATGGGGCAAGCGTGTTCCATGGCCTGAGGGAGGCTCACTGCGATGGCCTTGTCCCACTGCTGAACGGCTCCTTGTCATGGCCCCTGTGGACCCCGCTGCCATGGCCTGTCCCCCCGGCCCCACCCAGGATGCACCCTGGAGACCGAGGTGTCAGGACAGACCCCCTGGGCAGCAGAGCTCCCTGTGAGGACAGGGTGGATGGGCCAGACTGCGTCCTGAGCACCGTCCTCCTCCGAGACCAGCACGGGGTGAGTGAGCCCGTCGGCGAATGCGGCCCCCGGGAGAGGTAAGGCCGCTGGGCTGGGCGGCAGGGGCTTGGCTCTTTAGGGTTTGCTGCCAAGAAACCTAGCATTTTCTTTTCTTTGTTTCCCGATGGTGTGATTTATTTCCTGCTGGAGTATTCTGAGTGCCTGGCATGTGAGACCTTGTTTGCTGCTGCTGCTGCTAAGTCGCTTCAGTCATGTCCGACTCTGTGCGACCCCATAGACGGCAGCCCACCAGACTCCTCCGTCCATGGGATTTTCCCAGGCAAGGGTACTGGAGTGGGTTGCCATTGCCCTCTCCGGAGACCTTGTTTAACCCTCTGAATAATCAGATGACCTATAGTCATCCCCATTTCATTGACACGGAGATGTGTACAGTGAGGCTGAGTACTTAGCACATCCCAGCATTTTCTTATTATTTGTGCAGATGGGTTTTTGTTTTCTCAGGTCTCATGGCTCAGGTGAACAGGAGTGGGCTGAGTCAGCAGACAGGTGTCCTGTCTGTTGACCTGAGTGACTGATGACCCTTCTCAAGGACCAGAGGAGTTTGCTTATGAGAAGTGCATCTGTCTGTCCAGCAGGTCAGCAAGTGTCCAGGGCTGAGGCTGTGATTCAGGGCAGGCACTCTGCTGGCCATGGGAGGCTCCAGGGTCCTTTTCTTGAGCAGCTGATTGAGATCCCTGTGAACGGATCATAATGTGGGCATGGGCCAGGAGTGCTCATCACCTCCCTTTAATGTTTGGAATAGCTTAGGTCTCTTGGTTTCTCCCTTTCCTATGTGCTTGGTAAGTAGTGTGTGAAGGTCATGGGCCTTGAGTCCAGTGGTCTTAAGTGTGTTGAAGTTCAATAACTGTATTTTGGAGGGGTTGCTGGGCCGGGGTTGCAGGGAGCTGGGGAGAGAGCCAGAAACACATCAGAAATTCTGCCATACCAGCTTGGAAGAGCTCGGTGCTTAGGGGCCTGATAAAAAGAAACTGTGGCAGGAAAGTGCCCAGACTGAGGACTGTGGAGGGAGTTCTGAGGTTAGAATTAACATAGGAATAGGGCTGTGAATAAGGGTGCTTGTAATCCTTCCAAAATTGGGATAAAATTTGCATCTGAATGACTCATCAAGGCAAGATTGCCTTGGAATGTGTGGTTTCCTTCTTATTTTTCAGTTCCTACTATCAATCATTTGCATTTTTTATTCAACCAGCATTCTTAATGCTACCTTACAATTGCCCTCATCCTGACTTTTCCTAGCCTGGATTTCTGCATTGGCATCTCCCATCCTGTCTATCTTCATGGAGGGTGTGCAGGAGTGATGATCTCCTCTCTCTGCCACCCCATTCAACACAGCACCCAGGTGGATGCCTAGCTCTCAGGCCAACTGGCAAACTCAGGCCAACTGGCAAACTCAGCCCTCATAGGCAGATAGGTCTTGTTTGGACTTACCAGGATTAAAAAAGTATATCTTTTATTTTTCAGTGTCAAGAAATTAGGAGACCACCTAAAATTCTAGTTTTTTTTTCCTAGGAGAAAAATCAAAAGAGTTACACCTATTCAGTACTGAACGGCAGTAGGAGTCTGCAAGTCCCTAAAGATGTTCACATTCTAATCCCTGGAACCTGTGAATATATTAAAGGGATTTTGTAGGTATGATTAAGTTAAGGATCTTGAGATAGGGAAATTATTCTGGTTTATCAGCTACTGTTGCTACTGTTTAGTATAACTAAGTTGTGTCTGACTCTTTGTGATCTTGTGAAAGTGAAAGTCACTCAATCTTGTCCAACTCTTTGCAACCCCATCGACTGTATATACAGTCCATGGAATTTTCCAGGCCAGAATACTGGAGTAGGTACCCTTTCCCTTTTCCAGGGGATCTTCCCAAGCCAGGGATCAAGCCTAAGTCTCCCGCATTGCAGGCGGATTCTTTACCAGCTGAGACACAACAGAAGCCCAAGAATACTGAAGTGGGTAGCCTATCCCTGCTGCAGCGGATCTTCCCGACCCAGGAATTGAGCTGGAGTCTCCTGCATTGCAGGTGGATTCTTTACCAACTGAGCTATGAGGGAAGCCCTTGTGACCTCATGGGTAGACCCTAAATGTAATCATGAGGTTCCTAATGAAAGGGTCAGGAGGACAGAGAGAAGATGCTATGCTGCTGGTATAGGGGAGGAAAACTTTTCCTCTACTCTTCAGTTCGTTTGTGGGGCCTGTGAATTAAACTGACAACAGATTAACAGGGGAAAAGGCGTATCACGTTTAATGTTGTTAACATGCACAGAGGCTTCACACGAAAGAAGTAAAAACCCCATGAAGCAAGTAGGAGTTGTGGTCGGGGCTCAGGCTGGAAAAGGATTTTCAGATATGAGGCAGAAAGAAAGGAGAATAAAGTTTATTAGAATGGCAGATGCTGTTAGAGCAGTCGACCAACTCAAGGGAGAACTGGCATTGAACAGGGGTTCCTTAGTCCACTTTTATACCCAGGGTACAAGGAATGGGATCGGGGTCTTGTGGGTCATTTGCTGATTGGAAGAGGCATGTATACTGGGTGGGGAAAGAGAAGGGCAAATACTTTCTCCCTAGGGTAGGAGGGAAGACAAGTTATATTGTTCCATTAATAGTTACAACATGGAGGAGGGAAGGACAGTAGGGTCTGGTTTTTCCATTCCGCATTCCAAGACCCTCTTGGTTTTATCTGTTCTTTCTTCCTTGGGTCACCACATTCCTCCCTCTCTTTATTTTTAGGGCCAATTCTTTGGCCCCTTTTGATACCCTGCTCACGTCTAACAATCTACCTGTTTCCCTTCTCAGGCATTTGGGAACCCAGTCTCAAAGGAAAAGGGGCGATGACTGCTCTGACTTCTTCAGAGCAGTATAGGAGCTGCTATAGGAGCATCATGGGGCTCTGGGTTCCTTTTGCCTGCTCTCTGTCAGGGTGCATTTACGGAGGGAGAGGAGAGTCCATGGAATGATAAGGTGACTTGTTTCAGCATTGTCTGAGTGTTGGTCAAGGAATGTTCTTGTCATACTACCACCTGGAGATTTGTTGTATCCTAGAAGAAACAAACTCAGCAAGAAAGTTAAAGGTACGCGGCCCAAAGATTAATCGAAGTAGAAAAGCTGCTCAGGGGCCACCAGGAGAACCAGGACCAGACGTTGGTTTGTGACGTTAGTGTTTCTCTGGGTATGAGAAGATGCAAGAATTTGGGCTCATAAAATCTTTACCTGAAAACTTCTGGCTATCTGGAGGCCGGTTCTTCTGGGTTTTTCCCAGAGCACAGAGTGCCTTATTTCTGACCTTCGCCCTGAACTCCTTTCTGGAGTTGTTGAAGGTCAGCAGCTTGCAGTGGTCATGATATAATCTTTGTAGAGGCAGCTGGCAGGTGCCAACTTCCAGTCAGCAGGGTATCTTCATAGCCACATATTTGACCATGCTTTGGGGGCATTTCATGGCCATTGTGTCCCACGGTGCTGGGAAGGCTCATACCCAGGTTTAACGAAAATTCCATTGATAGGTCACTCAGTGTGGCGTTATTGGACCAGGCCTTGTGAGTGGCAAAAGTCTCTGGACCATACCTGTATTACCTGCCTCTTGGTCCAGGAAAATATTCCCTCTTGTTGCTTCTTCCCATTTCTAGAGTTACATTATTACAATCATTGATCTCATATGGAACTGCATATCAGCATTTTATCACAGGCTCAGTCACACATTTGCTAACATAAGAAACAATCTTCTGAAACAAGTGACACAGAGAATAATATAGCTAGCAGTTATTAGTGAGGTCACAAGTAAGAATTATAAGTCGAGAACGTTCATCAGGTAGAGCCCAGTATACCCCGGGTCATCTGACTTTGTTTGTTAAATGACTATAGCCTGGTGTTAATCTCCTGGTTGTACATCTTGGAGCATCTGATCTTTATCCAAAGACTGGTTACTGAGATAAGCTTCAGAAACAGACTTAGAGTGTCCTTTTTAATAACTTAATTAAATCTTTTGGCAATATAACTTAACAAGGAGCGATTTCAGAAGTGAGTCTTAGTAAACACTGCTGCTGCTGCTGCTGCTAAGTTGCTTCAGTCGTGTCCGACTCTGTGCGACCCCATAGACGGCAGCCCACCAGGCTCGACCGTCCCTGGGATTCTCCAGGCAAGAACTTGGAGTGGGTTGCCATTTCCTTCTCCAATGCATGAAAGTAAAAAGTGAAAGTAAAGTCGCTCAGTCATGTCCGACTCTTCGAGACCCCATGGACTGCAGCCTACCAGGCTCCTCTGTCCATGGGGTTTTCCAGGCAAGAGCACTGGGGTGGGGTGCCATTGCCTTCTCCTCTGAGTAAACACTAGACCTTAGTTAACAATACTAGAAACTTAGTTTAAAAATTAACAAAACTTAATATTCAGTGAAACATGATTTTTTCATTATGAGGGCATTAACCCTGTAGCCAGGGAAGGCTGTAACCCATAAAATAAAAATGAGGTTTGTCAGGGAGCCAGGAAAAACCAACTGGCCGTTTTGGATTTCCCATACCCCTGACTCTTTGATTTACAGCTATCATTCACCCATTTTTTTTTTTTCATTCACCCATTTTTAACTCCCTGATTTAGGAGTAGACTGTTGCTATGTTTTAAGGACATCAGAATGGCAAAAATCTAACAGTGAGGGGTTATTTTTTTGTGGAAGCAGAATGAGCTTTTATAGGTACCATAATCTTAAATAATACTTTACCAAAGTAATGAAAGATTTTAAAAACAAATATAAATCACTTAAAGGCAAAGAAATTCATAATCTGTTATCAAAAGCTTCATTCTAAGAAAACTTTGTTCTCTCAACATAGAGAGTAGACTAAATTCCATTCTGTTACCAGTTTACCAGATAATGAACAAACAAAATTTGTTTATCGCTTAATCTTAGAAAAGTTTTTTCCATAAATCTTGAAGTAGCAGTATTCTTGCAAAGGCATCAGAGTGAAACCATAGAAGGCTGTTTAAAATCTAATTAAACTGCAATTGACAAAGTAACCTGGTCATTGTTATGACTTGTAACA